GGACCTCGGGATGATCGTACCCGGGATGGTTAGAGACACTGAGTGATATGCCTGGGTGTCGTAAACAGTGGCGTTCGTGCATCTTCTCAATTTCTCTGTATCATTAGTCCACTGAATTTTTCAATTTTCTCTTCGATCCTACTTTCAACCTTTCCTGTCTTTCTCCTAATGTTCATCCAAATGGGCGGCCAAAAGACAGCAACCAAAACCGGCGCGGGAAAGTGCATGGTTAATGGTTGTACAAACTGAATTGTTCTCCGACACGGAATTTACATACAGCCTCGTGTGAATGCGTCAACATGGATTAGCAGGTCGGTAGGCTACTGTACTCAGAACCTTTAAACGGTGACCTAGTCTTCAATGCATAGTCGGGGAGACAACGAATAAGCAATTTTGTCCAGAAACGCTCTCTATCTCATCATATCTTTACCGGTCTTTCGGTTGAATCGAGCTGCATTCAGGGTGATCAATCAGGCAGTGACTGAAAATCTTGTGGGTTCTTCACGCGCCTCGTAGCGATTTATTTAAATCTGAACATAATTCATTTAACCCGTCTTTTCTCCGACACTATCAACGCGAGTGTTGTGAACGGGAGTAACTGCACGACAACGATGACGCACAGCGACAGGGGTGCACAATTTTCATCCTCAAGGATCAAGGAAAATTGACAAGACGCGCGTGGTACAACCATTCTTTCGCAGAATGACAGAACAGCACGGTAATGCGATAGGTGGAATAAAAATCACGTGACTGACACAATTAGAGTAGGGGACAGGAGAAGCGCGAATAAGGCTTACGCGGAAGTAACAATCCGACAACAAAGGATGGATAGTTTTATATTGGATACAGATCATAAGAAAATAATGCACATCCGCTCTGTATTCACACTTGAAATTTTCCTCAAGTTTTGTACAGAGGAATACGGTTACGTTTGATGCACGGGAGATCTGGTCGTCTACAAAAGACAATCACCTCAACGGAAGAATATGCAGAAAAACAGCACAAGTCGACGACGGAACCTCATCTTGTGTAACTGATTGGAATGAAATGTAAACATTCGAGAGGGTTGGAAAGTTGACTAAAAAACTATAGACAGAATGCATGTAGGGTTTTGGGGCTTGTAAAAGTGCATTATTTATTTTCTTTCTCAAGATCCGATATAAAGTGAAACTTGACGGCTTCAGTTCATTCGGTACCAGAGAACAACAAGGCCATATGTGATGGTTTATTATTTGTCACCGGTTCACAAAATTCTGCCTCCCAAATGGGTGTGATGTGTTTCGATAGGAGTGACTTTGTGGATAGCGCTCGACAATGGTCGCTGATAAATAACCAGGGCACAGTTCATTTTCAGGGATTTGATTATTTATAGCATTATTGTCCCAATGGTTAGGCACAACCCGTAAGTCACTTGAGAGAAAACACATGGAAATCCAGAATTGCTAAGTTGTACCTTACAGTGCCCTACACTAGTTAATTTTTCAATGACATAGCGAATCCATGAAATCCTCTATATATTGGTCATTGTTTCTTCTTGTTCTGGTTGGAGTGGCCTTGCTGGTCGAGAGACTATTTTGATGAATAAAAGAGATCTGAACTACGTTCCAAGCCGCTTTTTCTTCCATAAAATTTTACAAAATTTCGGTTTCAACACACCCCTATTACTAACGGACGGCATCATCAGAATAGACTTGTAGTCAAAGTGATTAATTATTACATTTTATCCTCAAGAAATCTATCACAAATGCTAATCCTCATAAACATTTACCTTTTCAGGCCGTTACAACAATTCCATGTACAACGTGGTCTCGTTGTACACAAACAGTATATGCAACGTTTGCGGTAGTTTTGCCTGTCCGTACTGTCCGGACTACAATGGATCCAAACGTCGAAAGCCAAACACCTCAATTCTTCTGTTCACTGCGGTGCTTGTCATGTGGGTACAAAGTTGGCCGCTACAGTCCAGCTGGTTCGGACTAGATTTTCTGCCAATTAGAAGTCCACCAATAAGCTGAGCCGCTTTCCCGTCCACCACAACCGACATCGGGTTAATCAACTGTAAAAAGACGTTATCCCATTCCAAATGAACAACCAGAAACAAAATCATCCCCTGAAGGCAGAAAATCCGGCTTTCCGCTCAGGCTGTGAATTTCAATCTGTCCCATGTAGACCATATTCTCGTCCTCCTAGACCATGAGACGCTTCTTTCTCTCTCTCCTGTTTTACCTTTGTACACAGGCCAGCATGTACCGGCATATTTCAGCCTCAGTTTTCCTTCTTTTACACTACTCTGTCGCTTTTGTATTGCACTCAAACTGACCAATCGACTCAAACCCGAGAAAAATAATGCATTATTTTGTACCGGAATCGGACGCATGATTGTTTGCTACTTGTCTACTATTTTTTGCCCGCGGACGACCACAGTTCTGTAAATGCGTTTGAATATGCGGTTGTACGTCTATCCTTATCTAACTGGTTATTGAAATTTGATAAGGAGAAACTAGAATAATGGAGGAGAGCAATGATTTTTACTAAAATTTCATCACATTCAACGTCCAATCATATTGGATACATCAGCTCACCCTAGCCCGTACAGTACTGCCAATGTACTCCGGTTTTGAATCCTGTGAAGAGCCTAGTTTTCCAACCCTTAATCGGTATATCCTTGTGTACCCGTTTCCGGTACGGAAGAATTATTTAAGGTGGGCCAGTTGGCCTTGTATTCACGCAACTACCATGTATTCGGAACGATCTCATTGCTGTCTCAAAATGCAGCCTGCAGAATCTCCGCCCGAGTTGGTATCCCGATTTGCTCGATATCACAGAAATCGATTTAAAATTTTACTAATAAAGAGTACCGTGTTTATACAACAAGTCATGTGTGTAATTTTCACGCTTCTTTCTGACTACCTCATTACTTCAGCTAGCTCCTGTCAGGGGATGAGCCAATTGCACATGCCGATAATTCTTCCTCAGAATAGTCAGTGATATGCACGGCGATGCGCACCATCTGCTCAGCAAAGCAATTCCAGTAGCGTCAAAACGAAATGCATCATGAAAGACAGAAGAGCTATCATTAAATTGACCGAAATTAATGCTTACAGACCCAATCGTCGGACCTTGAAGAGACTGCCTTCACACCGTTTATAAAATAAAAGTCACACACACGGACCTGTGAGTTGTCGGGAGTTTATGGGACCGAATAACTTCACCACCCTTGGTGGTGGTCAACTTCAGTGTCTTCCGCTCAATACCCCATCTATTTTATTGAGGGATTATGTGGTTCACTACTCCAAGTCCCGAGACTTAAACTGCCGGCTCATATGAGTAAACAGTAGGTCCTCGTGACCATGGGATCTAACTTTCAACCAATCACCACACAGTAATTCCTAATAAAAAAAGGGTTCGCTCCGTTCCCAAATCATGGCAGTTGTCCTACACAAGCACGGGGAAGTTGAGTATCAAAGTAGTGTTAATAATATTGGAACGGTCCTTCGGAGAACAGGATCGGTGTTACTTCTGTTGAAGGTTTTGAACATTGTTTGTCTTACGAAATACATCTGTGCCGTGAACAATAGAAAGAGCGCACACACGGTTTGGTTATCGAGACCGACAGTCTAGAGCAGAAAACTACATAAGCATTGCATTCAGCCAAATAACGACGAACCTATCCACTACCACACTGTCTGATCTATGAGTATGCAGACGACATTGTGCTACTAAGTGAAGATGCAAGCAAGTCACAAGCCTTTCCGAAAAGTTTCAGCGCTAGTGTATCCATGTTCGGTATGCGTTCCGCACCTTCAAAATGAAAAATGTTATTACAGGACTGGTAGGCATCACGGATAAAGTTTCAGCTCGCACAAAGTAGGCTTGGTTGGCATTGGCTAACTTGAGATATCTGTGGCGCCGTCACGACATCTGTATGCTGTCTGTATGCTGCGGCAGTTCGGTCAGTTATGCTATATGGAGCAGAAACTGGGCCATTAAGAAAACAGGACAAAGATAGACTGTCGATGTTTGAACATCGCTGCCTATGCAGCATTGCACGAACCTGGTGGGATAGCCGGACGAACAATGCTGAGGTTAGGCGCACAGTTTTAGGTAAATGCGGTCGCACACTGGAACAAGTGGTCGACGTCCATAGATTACGTTGGTTGGGATGTGTTACGCATGCCACCAGATAGGTTGCCATTGCGAGCGATGTTCGCCGAGGCAGGTAGTGGGTGGAAGAAAGTCAAGGGTAGTCAAGCCAAGACCTGGCATGAGATTACGAAAACCCCAACCAAGTGTCTGGGTCACATAGGTCCCGTTAGGCCCCCTGGATGGGGACCTCGGGATGATCGTACCCGGGATGGTTAGAGACACTGAGTGATATGCCTGGGTGTCGTAAACAGTGGCGTTCGTGCATCTTCTCAATTTCTCTGTATCATTAGTCCACTGAATTTTTCAATTTTCTCTTCGATCCTACTTTCAACCTTTCCTGTCTTTCTCCTAATGTTCATCCAAATGGGCGGCCAAAAGACAGCAACCAAAACCGGCGCGGGAAAGTGCATGGTTAATGGTTGTACAAACTGAACTGTCACTTGTCGTGGTCTTAACCCAAGCATGTAGTCGATCCCCTGAAATACTGTTCGCGCTCACCACGAATGACTACATTCCCGTGGTCACCTGACAAAGAAATACGTTTTTGGACGGGATGTAGTGCGGATGTCAACTGATGATAAGGTAACTAAGCGTTCCTCTCTTTGAAATGCTGATCGCATCAGTCTTTGGCACAGGGATCACGTGCCCTCTGTGGAGATGTAGGTGACAGTCTACCCCTCCTCCACGTCCTGGAATTGCCACCGCCGTTTGTTCATGATTGCATGTTTGTCACAGCAAACCGAGACTTATTCATAGTTAACCTTTGGTGAGAGTATAGCCTATCCACAACCCTGGAACGCTCCCGGCAGCTTAAAGCTGTGCATATCTCTTGAGTGCCGTTGTGCCTAGCAGCTCCAGCACGTACATTCCCCTCCACTTCATACGTGGGCGTGTGCAGCTATGCACCGACCGCAAAACAAACAGTAGTGAGATGATCTAGGCACAGTTGAGTACATCCAGTGAGCCTGTTGTTATTACTGGATTACGGCAACCGTTACGACACGACACACTGGTCCCATTAGGGCAGCGAACTAAAAGAACAGAAGCCAAATTGTAACCTCTGATGAGTGGTCAGATGTCTTGAAATTATTAGGTAAACTGTGTGAGGGGAGTAACTGAGATTTGTGGTCAAAACACGTCCATCATACCAGAACTATAGCATCCAACAAATAAACATACTTTTCTAATCGTGCATGTGATCAGCACCAGAGCTGGCGTGAGACTAACAGTCAACCTAATGGGTAATCACCTCTGTGAAGGATCGACGACGCATAGCTATTATAGGTGCTCTACTGTCTCATTCTTCCGTAGCGGCTATTGTGGTAGTAGTGATTCAACGGAATGAGTTGACATTATATCAGAGTGAAGGTGGTGTTCAAACACATTCTTCTATCTTGTCTCGCAGCAGTCGTTGATGGACTGTACAATGATCTGTGAAATAAAAAGAAAAGAATATTGCAATGAATTGGTTCCTTCAAAATGCACCAAACTCTCCACGCCAGAACTCACTACGACATTGGAATAATGAGACAGAATACGGGAACGCAGAATACGTTACAACAGGATGCAATCATGTGGTGTTCTTACTTGATGGTTTAACGCTAGTACCCTAGTACCGCGGGAATATGCAGTGAGAAAAGTAATGAATCAGAGAAGAAAATGACGTCGGTTTCATGTTTTTCCCGGACGTTCAGGAGGGAAATAACTAGAAGAGGAAGCGCGCCTTATGAGTTCTTGGACTCAAATTCAAAAGACTGGTTTTGAGAAGTCAAACTGAAATGAGTACTTTGATTCTAACCTGGGGTGCAATCAAAAATAAGCCGTTGGGAAGAAAGCACAATACAATGCACGCGATTTATTGATGAGTAAGGTGATGATGTTAAAATCTACATCAAGCATTCACCTATTAGTCAGACAATAATAGTGGGGAAAACCCAATTCCCGTTGGGGAAGGTGGACATTAATTGGTTTTAGAGGTTGCAGAGCATGATTACCTGGTCACAGACAACCTAAAGATACACAATTCGACCTAGGTGAACAAAGTGAATCCAGGCATTGCCAAAAGGTTGTCCCGTCCGCAACCAGGAAAGTGAGGGTAAAGGGTGCGAATTACGGTCTCAGACGTACTCGCGATGGTGAGCAAGAATAAAAGGGGAAGAAGTTTTACAGTGCGACAAGTGAGATTTGTCAATGTGTGCGGAACTTCTTGTGTGTGTGTATTTTCAAAGTCGCCACCGATAGAGTGGAACAAAATATATCCCATTGCCGTTACAGAGCGATTCCCCTGAAGTATGTTCAGTCTCGCTTCTTGTCCGACGTTTGGCGAGTGCCAGCAGCATCCCGTCCACCAACTTGTCCGTTAACGCTAGCCGAAGCAGGAATGGGACTTGATGGTACACTAGGTCCGCTTCCAGGGCTTCCAACTGTGGTTACATGGGCAGTGGTAGGGCCCGATAAAACGGCTGTAGCCATAGGAAATGAAGTGGTAGCAGTTGCGGTGGCCACTCCACTTGTTTCAGTCGAGTGAGCACGACTTCGTTCAAAGGCATTACGTAATGCATCCACAGTGCCCCCAAATAACACAGTGCACGTGATATTCTCAAACGGTGAGAACGGGTCCTTCAAGCCCAGTAGGATCATGGTTACCCTGTTTGAAAATTAGAAGGCGAGATATTATGAGTCAGTTGCGTGCAGCAGTTCAACGAACCTAGTAGAAACAATAAAGAAATTATAAAAAAACAACGAACAGTTCAAAATTTAGAACAAGCGAATCGACCTCTCTTATGCTACCAAAAGAATAAACGGCAGGTAGTGGAGAATAAACAACCAAATCTCATTATACGAGAGTTAACTGTAAGGACTACTGTCTATCTTCGGTGATACGTGGTTCTTACCACCTAAAAACGAGAAAACTGCTGTAACGACTTAGGCAATTCGCCACTCCGTTTGAGCGTGAATCGTGTTCATGGTTCATGGCGTTTATGTTTTTCTCTTTTACAAATTGTCAGGCAACCCCTTTTAACTGAAAGCTTGTATATAACTCGCTAAAGCTTGAATACAATACGATACAATGCAACACAAACTTCAGCCGTGATGCGTCCACCGGGTCAGATGTTGCTATCCAGATAACAAAATTTATTCACTTACTGTATTACTTTCCCAGTTTGAGTGACGCTGGGTGCTGAACCAACCCAGTCTTGTAATAACATTTTTCATTTTGAAGGTGCGGAACGCATACCGAACATGGATACACTAGCGCTGAAACTTTTCGGAAAGGCTTGTGACTTGCTTGCATCTTCACTTAGTAGCACAATGTCGTCTGCATACTCATAGATCAGACAGTCTGCCACCTGGAAGTAAATCGATACCACTATGCTCGCACGAGGATAGGGCTGTTTCCATAATCAAATCTTTAAAAAAGGTAAATAGAAAAGGAGAGAGAGAGAGAGAGCAACCCTGTCGAACACCACTTTCCGTGGTGAACTCGGGTGGAAACGTACCGTAAGCTCGGACTCGGATTCGGCCATTGGTATAAAGCGTTTGTAATATTTAGATTAACTTCTCGGGCACACTCTTCAGAGAAAGGCAGCGCCAGAGTTTAGAGCGGTCGCCTGAGTCGAAAGCCGCTTTCAGATCGAGGAAGATAGAGATAGTGGGTCTACGAAAGGAATGTCGGTGCTCCAGAGTTTGGCGGCGTGAAGATGTGGTCGATACAACCTCGACCGGATCTAAGACCAGCCTGGTTCTCATGGATGCACTGTTCTAGTGCGGCATACAATCGACGAAATATGGTATCAACGAGAATTTTAGAGACTAAACAGTGTAGACTCATTACAGGAGTGAAGTGACGCGTGGAGAATATCGAGCACTGAGGAAAACTTTGCGGCAATAGAAACCGAATCCCCGTTGATGTCTAAACGCTCTTCTGGTATTCCGCATCTGTGAAATATGAACCACATTTACTCAACGTTTTCGTTCAACTCTTTGTACGTCAAATTCATGCCCTCGGACAAAGTTATTGCATTCAGGTATGACTTGAGTGTTTGTGCAAGCCCGACTGCTGATTGGAATGCATGATACTATTTCTGATGTTCAGTGAGAAAACCGACAACAGTTGAATGTCAAATAGTATCACAGAAAACGACAGAGCAATTAATGAATCACTTGGAGAGAACCAAGATAGCGCAGTATCCCAGGCTATGCGGACGACGCTGTACTACTGATAGAGGACCCAGGTAATCTGCAAGCTACTCCGGATGGTAGTGCAGCTATGTTCAGCATGCATTTTGCGCATTTGAATGTTGTTACAGGAATGGGTTGGCCGAGTGCCTGACCCTTACCCCAACTGAGTTAGCGATGGAGACGGTAGACAAAGTTCGCTATTTAGGCAACTACATCCCACCGTGGGGACAAATCTTGGCAAGCGTACAGAAGGCTCGGTTGACATTTCCCGATCCGAAACATCTAAGGAAACGCCGCGATATTCAGTTATCTGTGAAAGGTCGAGTATGTACTACAGTATTTCGACCAGTGTTGCTACAATGTTGAAAGACTTCGCCGTTACTGGAACGGAATAAAGGTATACAATCAGTGTTCGAACACCACTGTCTACGCAATGCATAGGGTATGCAGTTTATTGGGAAATCGCAGTCACCTATTGAAGCAAATGCTCGACTTGCGGAGAATAGGTTGGCTGGAGCACGCAACGCATGCCACCAATAGGCTTCCACGGTATGCGATTTATGCTGAGGCACTTCCTGGGTGGAAAAGGTTAATGTTGGCCAACCTAGGGGCTGGCATAAGGACATGAAAACCCTGATCAGGAGACTTGGTTATATAGTTTACGGTAAACTTCCTGGTTAAGGATCTCAGAATCAGTGTAATCGATTATTAGAGACAGAGTGACATATCTGAGTGTTGCAAAAAGAGGCTCATGTACCTCAATATTTTTGTCGTTTTAGTCAAACTGGATTCTCCATTTTGACCCCGAAACTGATTCCAACATTCCAATTCATCTCTCTACTCCTTTATCCAAATGGGTAGAGAAAAGACGAAAACCAAGACCGCCGAGCGAAAGTGAAAGGTTAATGGTCGTATAAACGGAGCTGACTTACCTGAGATATACGAAAATGGCAGCCACCGCCAAAAACAACTGATTTGCCGGAAGCGGAATGAGTTCAAGATGATGCACATAGTATGCAACAGCTGCCAGCAGCGAAATTTTTGTTGTGCTGTGAACAGATAGGAAAAAATTGTTGTCAGCACCGCTTTCCAACTGATCGTATTAACCTCATGCCAATAGCCAATTTGCAAGGTGCACAATGATAACATGCTTTTAATAACGCACATCTGGTCACTTGCAAAGGGTTGAACTAGTTTACATGCGATGGTTTGGATGACGAATGCAAACGAGCTTACAAAGTCGGATGAAGAAACTCCGTAGCCGCGGGTAACCAGACGCCACGTACGAGACGTTGGATCAGTTTCATCTCGTAATAGCCCGCTCCTACGGAAACGGTGTAAACAACCTCAGTTACATGGCCCAATCACAGTCCCTAAGCAATATTTTGATAGATTATAGATCAAATAGTTAAATGATATAAAACTGTAGTAGATAGAAAGCGTGAAATGAACTATCCGAACGTTACTCCGAGCTACTGAATACGATGAAAAAGATGATAGGATGGCTCAAATGACAGAAACAAAAAGGTTCGAGGTAGGCACTTTTACGGTTGCTTGNACATCTCATCCCCTAGAGGTTATATGCTTCGTTATCCCAATACCCAATGATACGATTGATAATTTTCATAACAAAACAGTAGGCTCAAGCAACCCTTTTTTATTCATCTCACCTTAGTGCAATCAAAAAACGTAGATCTAATGATTAAATCAAACGAGGACTTTTGTACGAGGCATTTCAAAACACTGAGCTATCCGACGGGTTCGCTTTACTCCGTTAAAATAAAACTCAACATAGAAACGGATTTCGCTAACCACCAAAAAGATTCAGATATACAAGGCTACGGCGAGTAGGCAAAATGCATAACATTAAGTCCAGCTTAGCTCAGTTTGCACAAGACAGAATGTGGCCACGGCCAATCGACTGTCCAGAATTCCTTCGGTGGAATGCGATCAGGTTTGGCGCTGCGAAGAATGGTCCCTTACCTTTTTGGTGGTCTTCGTGATCAAGAAATATCAGAATTCACCTTCAGATATTTAGGATTGATGATCATATTGGCGTCACAAGTGTAGACTAGCTACCAAATGATTTATCAGCTAGAGACTCCTACTCATAAACGGACAGTTGAAAACACCTTTTTGTTACACCGCCATGAGATGAACATTGGTACCGTACTCTACAGTCATACGCACTCTGTTTAGATAAAAGGATTAGAAATTAGAAAATTGGAAAAATGCGCTGCATGAAGCCTCCAGTTACATTGATAGCAATGACTTGGATGTAAGATTCATTTGTCTCACATATGATTGATCCGGTATCAAACTGAAAACTAGTAGATGTCATAAATGGCCTTCGAAATGTCCAGATTGAATAACTGAGAAGTCTGACTTGGAAAACGTTTAAACAAGGTACCTTCTCAAATGTACGGGCAATCCGTAAAGCGTACTATTAGCAAATCAATGGTAGTAAATTTGAAGTAATCCATTCGATTGTTCACAGGCATCAGGCACTGTTGTTAGTATACCATAATTCTCACGATGCTGAGTCCCGCGTGTACCAAAAAAATCAGGGTATAACGCTCATGACAAAGAGTAATAGTAGGTTTTCCAGACCAAAGCAGATGAACAGGAGGATTCACAACCGGAACCCTCTGCTAGGCAGTTGGATGTGTGAAAATCGCCCATTCGATCACAAGCCATTTGGACACCGAATTTGAACGATGAGCAGAACATTTCAAGGCACAGTTCAGCTGGCCTCCGTCGACACCACACCTCTATTTACCTGCTTCAACTGGGCAAATACTCCCAGTGGATATCAGTTATCCATCCGAAATGGAGGCTACTCGGGAAATAGCTTACCTCAAAAGGCATAAGGGCTCAGGCCCGAATGGGCTGCCCCCTTCGGCTTTTGAAGGTGGAGGGTCAGTCTTGGTTTTGGAGTTAACGAAACTCCTGAGAACAGTGTGGGAGAGCGAACAGGTTCCCACGGAATGATGTGAACCGGAAATTATACCGATTTGACAGAAAGGTGGCAGACCCTCTTGTGAAAACCACAGGGGAATTAGCCTAATCAACATTGTCTCAAAGCTTTTGGGTGGCATCATACTCCGTCGATGATCTGCCGCACTTGAGGATCAAACTGGTTTTAGGCCTGATTGAAGAAAATCGACTACATCTACATCCCTCGCAGACACTCCTTTCGTAAACCCACCATTTCCATCTTCCTCGATTTGAAAGCGGCTCTGGACTCAGTAGACCGCTCTAAATTCTGGCGCTGCTTCTCTCTGAAGGATGTGTCCGAGGAGAACATTCGATAGTACAATCCACTTATACTAATAGCCGAAGCCGAGTCCCAGCTTATGGTACATTTTCGCCCGAGTTAACTGAAGAAAGTGGTGTTCATCAGGATTACTCCCTATCTCCATTTCAATTTAACTTTGTTACACATTTAATTCTTGAAA